GATACATCTAAAATTTAAAAACAGAACTAAAAAAGGAAAATCCAAGAAGATGGAAAATCGGGCTGAGGACACTATGGGGCTAGCCATCCCCCTGCTTGAAGTATTCCCTCCCCACCCCAGGCCAAGTGACAGAGCCAGGTCTTCAAGGCCCTTCGGAAGGCCAGTTCCTCTGGCAAAAATGAGAAAAAATGTAAGAAAAGCAGCAGGTGTAATCTCAAAATAAGAAAAATTAACCAAAATCTAATGAATGTTTATTCTAATTAGTTGGAAGGGGAGTAGAGAATCAGTGTTCTGTTCTAGTTGAATGAAGGCTATGCAGAGGTTATAACTTATATGGTAAGTTTACTAAACTTTGCTCGGAAAGCAACAGCCTTGAAAGGAAGCGGATAGCAAACTCTATTTGAAATTGTCCTTGACTGACCTCCTGAGGTCATTCAGAACATTTGCAAGTTTTTTATAAACATTCAGACATTCTAAAGCACATTAGGATAGGGCCTTTCATGTTGTCAAAATTGGAAAGAAAAGTAAAACTATATTGCATGGTGGCAAGCTTTCTGGTGTTCAAGAAGTTACCCCTTAAATGTTATCCTTACCTCTTCCAAGTGATTTATTTTGCAATTGACTGTTAGCAGAGGATAGGCTGGGATTTGCCATTATCTTATAATCATAGATATAATGCTGTGCTCTCAGGCTGTCGGTAGCTTTTTTGGTGATATCCTGATCATTCTTGTCTTGAGTCTCTTCCCAGACTACTCTTTTTTTCCTCCCCTTTTCATTGCCATCGTGCTAAGCTGTAATGTGATTTGATTAATTTTGACTCTCATGTAAATTCATCCAGTATAGATTGCAAATCACAGTTTATGGTTTAGTTACATGTACAGACAACCCATAGCTTGCAGGACACTGAATATTTGTGGTGGCAAGATGGCTGATCTTCAATGATGCAATTTTTTTGGTTACAAATAGAAAACTACAGGTGGAAATGGATGCAGTAAATTTCTGTGGTGCAAAACACACCCATTAGTGTCTTTAAAACTGCCTGGAAGCCTCCCTAAAGGACCAAGACTGTTTAATCCTGCCATTTGGTAACATCACTGCATCGCAGGACATGCCTCCTGCAGCTTCTGAGGCAAAAGAAAGAAGTTTCCACTTCTGGTTTGGTGTGATGTGTGAACCTAGCCAATTGTGGTTTTCAACAACTCTAGTTAAACAAACTGACTTGATTTGAATATGGGAATTATGTTTAAAATGGGTTTAGTCACCATTTTTTGATATTTCTCCCAATCTTTAAGTGGTGTCTTTTTCTATTGTTACCTCTCTTGCTAGCTACCAGTTCGTTCTTCCAATCTTTCTCTTTCCATAGGAGCTAGATTATCAGAAGAGACGTATGCGGGAACCAGGTGATAAGTTTGTCCCAGTCATGAGTGACTTTATCACAGTAGCCAGTTTTAGTTTTTCTGAGCTGGAAGACCTTCTGAATGATGCAAGGGATAAGGTAAGAAATACATTTTAAATGGTTCAGTAACTCATAATACAGGGTAATGCCTATAGAAAAACTCTGGTGTTTTTCATTTAGAGGGGTGATACGTAGTACATATATCAGTTTTTCACTACTCAGTGGAATGACTAAAGCTGGACTTTCAGTTCTACAAGCATCTCCTTTCAAGACATTAAGCACAAGTCTTTTCTTATTCTTCTTGTCCATTTCTAATGACAGTCACTGAGAATGTGGATTGTCTGGTCACGCTTTGGATTCAGCCCTGAACTGAACTGTGTGACCTCCAAATTGGAACAGATCAAAGTGGAAGCTCTTCAGAGCGATGGTGTGAAGAACATCTTGTGATCACTGCCATACATTCCTGGAAAACAGCCAATGAAAGAGAAATAAAATACAGTTATCATGCATATGCCATCATATTTTAAGTGGAATTGCCCTTTTAAGTGGTTTCATACTAGAACAAAATTTGTAAATAACAGGCAACTTCACTGAAAGATGACCTACAGTATAAACATTGCTGTGACTGGTAAAGTACATTATTATTTCTGACCAGGAAAATCCATAGCATTTCTAGAAATGTGGATTGCGCCCCCCAAAGGGGTTCATAAAGAGAGTGAATGGAGGGTCAGCAGAGAGTGCCTTCCTCGCAAGAGGTTGACTGCAAAGTGACAATTCCAGAGCCCTGTATGAAGCCTGAGTCTACTTTTTTTTAACACATTGCCTCATGATGTGGGGAAGGGGACAATACCTTAGTATAGCGAGGATGAAATTACAAGACTGGAGGGAGGGATTTAAAGGAATCAAATATCAGGCTGTAAAGGAAACACAGTGGAATGTGGCTGTTATCTCAGTGCAATTGAATAGGGGAGAGACAATGCTAGGAACAACTTACAGCCTGCTGTTGTTTTATAAACTCCAGCATTTTAAGAGCAGTTTAAGAGAAACTGATATAAGGCATGAAAGCATTCTCTTCTCTTCTCTTCTCTTCTCTTCTCTTCTCTTCTCTTCTCTTCTCTTCTCTTCTCTTCTCTTCTCTTCTCTTCTCTTCTCTTCTCTTCTGACTTTGTTGAATGAGAGTGGCTGTCTTAGAAATAAAAACTAAGATTTCAGGAATCATGCAAAAATGAGCAAACTCAACCTTCCCATTTCTTAACAAAATAAATAAACATTTTAATTTTATAAAGCTGTATAGTTTTGTCATTGCTCTACTTGACATATAGAGTAATATGCAGTTGTTAAAAATAAGTTGTACATTTATTTCTTGCCCAACCCTAACCCCAGTTTTAGTTTAAATAAATCTAGTTTTATTTATTCTTGGGGGAGTTACAATATTGCAGTTTCAAAACTCCGGCCATAGAGTATTGATCTAAAAGGTTGATTTCATCAAACACACACATGAATGAAACATTTGCATTTGCAACAAACAAAAAACTTCCAGTGATGAAGTTCAGTTATACACTAATTTTTTAAAAAGGGGGTCTGCTGTCATACTTTAACAACCTAAATGCATTCTCCATTTACAATTGATCAAGTTATGCCTTCATTTCCTTGTCTAAGTCTTCCCCACTCCTTAGGCAAGGGTGGTGGTGGTCCTACTAGCCAATAGGTAATCAGAATATCCAAATGAACCTGTTGTAGGCTGCATCTGATGAGTAAATAAAGGATTAAAAGCAAAGAATATGTGGTATATAAATTATTGGTGTGATCTGTATTGTTCTTGTTCCAAGGAAAGCAGGAACAAATGCCAACTTCCTAGCATATTACCCCAATCAAAACAGGACACTTCCTTCTGAACTGCGGTATATCAGGTCCCCAAAGGCAGCTTTTAATGTAACCTAAAGAATAGACTATTATTTGCTCCTGACTAGAAGCTGGCACTATGCCCTTAAGTCCCTAGGGTGAGGGAGAAACCTATAAAGAAAAATTACAAAGGCATGAAAATGTTTGAAGAACAAGTCAAAATGTAAATAAGCTCTAAGCATGGCAAATCTTTCCTTCTTTGCTAATGTAATAAAGGCTGTTAAACAAAGTAAGTATACCCTCCCTTTTTCTCCTTTATGTTAGTAGCTTGAAAAAAAGATGGAAACCCATCTTTTTGATGGCTGAATTAGTATTATTCAGTAATTAGATTTTGTGATGTTCAGTTATGATTTTGGTTGCTTTATACATTAGAGCAGAGGGGACGAGTATTGTTTATAACTTGTGAAATGTCCTGTTCTTGGCAAGTGGTACAGGAAACTTCATTTCAGTCTCATTTTGAAGACCCCTAATGGTCTCTCAGTGTAGCATGATTCCTTTGGACTGTACCATCACATATCATAACAAGTACAAATAAGGAGAATTAGCTATCTATTCTCTGTCCTGCTATTCTTGCTATGTGTTATTTGATGTGTGGCTCTTATCCAAATTTGGCTTACTACAGATTGATGTTTTGATTTACATCATTTACACTCTGTTTTTCAGTCTGAGAAGTACCCAGTGTAGCTTGCAGAAAAGTAAAAACACAGTAATTCCTACCCTCAAGTTTACAATTCAGAAGTCTTCATAAGTTATAGTGTTAGTATAACAGCCTGGCAACCCTAATTTTGCCCCAGTTCCTGTAGGTTTGGCCTTTTCTCATCTCAGGCCAGAATTTAGGCCACCTCATCCTTTCTTTCTTACTGTCTGAAACTTAGTCCCAAGCCATTGTAATCCCATCACAGTTCATTGGTGGCTAAAATTGGTAGTATTTTCCCCTCCTTTAGGTGAAATACTGTGTGTTAGTCTGACCAGCCAGCTTTAACTGTTGTTTGTAGATTCTTACGCCTAGATGCAGTCCTTGGTAGAGATACCTTTATCTTGGGAGGGAGAAGGAGATAGACATAGCTACTCATTAACCAAGCATTCCCCTCAAAAAGAACTACCCAACCATATGGGCAATACATTTTGTCAGCCACAAAACACGTAAGAGAAGAATGAGAATCGGGACAAGATATCATTATGCAGACAGGATTTGTGTCTATGTAGCTAAAGTTGGGTTATGCTAAGTCTAAGAAGGCATGTCTCTGATGGAAAAGAGAAGAAACAGACAAATAAGACAAATGGTTTCTGAAAACAAAATAAAGAAGAAGGAGGGCAAGAAGTCTGTTAATGCCAGTAGCATATACAGATGTCAGTTCTTCACTGTCTATTGCTTCTTTGCTTCTGTTCTCATAAGGTGGTTAGTTCCATTAAAGCGATAGGTTTCAAGCTTGGTTTACATACCACTGAAACATGAGATGAACTCTCCCATCATGAGATGAACTCTCCAGACTCTGGGTAATTTCAAGGAAACCAGTGGTCCACCCAGTTGTGCTCTCAGATGCTGCTGCTGCTACATGGGCCCCAGTTTGAACTTACCAATGCAGTATGATTAGCCAGCTGCTAAATCCAGTCCTGTTATATTGTCTTCTGGGACAGGACAGGATCTTCCTCTCTCTCTGTTGTTTCAGAAAGTTATGCCATAACTGTCTCTTCTCCAGTAAGTCTGTTTTTGACACAGTTTGCCTTGCAGTGTTAGAATCACAAGGTCAGTGCAAATGTGAAAGAGACTCTTCATTTGAAAATGAGGAAATAGAAATATAAAAATTAAATACACATTGCAGTTTATCTGGCTTTACTCAGAATTAATGTATTTTATCTTAAAAAAACAAGTCTGTTATTTCAAGCTGTCAAACGTGTGTCTAGGACCTCTGGGCTAATATAGTATCAACTTGAACCCTAGTGTTACGTAGGGCTTTGCTTCCCAGACCCTTCACTTTTTGTTTGGTTTCTCTTCATTAACAGGACCTTTCTTCTTGCTTTTTAAATTTCTATTTCTTTCTGGACCGAGTAGCCTGCCGGAGTAAAATGTATAACTGACAAGCCAAAAGGAACAGTGAAGGACAGGAGCCAAAATGTACAGTCTCTCAGAAAGGCCTGGCCTTTAGTGGGAATGTTACCTGTTGACTGAATTTAGTTTCCAAGGTAACTGGGAAGAAAGAGATCATCCTTAAGTTAGAAATCTCCCTTGCCAGATTTCAACTGCCTTGGGATCTCCTATTGAACCATGACCTGCAGTTTTGTATCTGTTTCTTTTTAGCACATCACAGATGGAGGTACAGACTGTTTTTTTACTTGGGACTGCACCTGAAATCTATCTCTGAATGGACAATATGAACATTCAGCTTTCCATGCATTACAGGGTCCTTCTATTGAACACTTTTAAACCTACCTGAGAACTTGGTCACTGTGCTTCTTTTTCCTATGACGCAGGAACCAGGACTCTGTTTTGAACTTTATATAGACCTTCAATATTGTCCATAAAAGAGGGAGAAAATACATTTCTTTGACACACTAAGGATTGTGCCTTGTAGTGCAGCAGCTTTATGGACATCAAGACCCATTTCTCATAACAAATCATATAGCATAAAATACCATGTAAAAGTTTTCTATTTATTTGTGCTGATTCAACATAAAGATAGTCTTTCCCCTTGCTATCAGTCTCTCCAACACATTGTACACTTTGTTTTCTGGAGTTGTATGGATTAAGAAAGTAAAGAGTTATTTTAATCCAAAACAGGATTTAATCATACTAGGGAAGGAAAATCAAGTTCCTGTTTCTGCTAAGCTAATTAAAAAGTATCTGCACAGCAAAGCCAATCGTTCCTGGATGTGGCTGAGTACGGATTTGCCAGCATAATGCTCTCAATAAGAGATGTTTAATACTAATTACTATAACATGTCCAATCATCTCTTACTCCCTAATGTCTTTTTGTAGCATGCACACAAGTACTGTGCTTCAAGGAGCTTATTTTGAGCTTCTTTGGAAGAGTGTACAGCTTTTACTCCACCTCACTTAGCTGCCTTTGGACCCAGGAACTGGAATTTTCTATCTCTAACAGAATCTAAGCCAGTGTTTCTCAACCTTGGCAACTTTAAGATGTGTGGACTTCAACTCCCAGAA